GTGAGTAAACTATTGCAAAAAGCTACTCCTTGTTTCCCAACACTCATATACATCTATCATAATTACATCTATAAAAAATGGAGCACAATAGTTTATAGCTTGGTGATTTATCTGGTAGAATATGTTAATTTATTTTCCGTACACCATGATGGTAGAAGGGTTTTGATTATAATAAATAATAACGTTACAATTCTTGTTGTTTATTCCAAATTATGCCGTAAAGGATTGGTTGTTGGGGCTATAATGTAACTGGAATTTACAGTGATGACCGAAGGCTTTATTAATTAGAGCGCGTTAAAACAAATTCAAATTTAAGCGCGCTTGCGTTTGCGTAGTACCGAGGGAGTCAATATGCAACACATTTGCAAGTAGTGTTTTCATGGTACCGGGTGATTCATTAGAAGTGATGATCGCTTGAATTTCGCGCGTAAGGCAGGGCGAACGTTGAGACGCAGTGTGACGTGTGGTGACGCAGGGTGAAGTGACGCGCATGGGCGAAGTGAACTGCCTGCGCGTGTACGTGCGAACAGATGAAACGCTGGTCACGTAATTCTATGTAATTTGTTAGACTCGGATCTGATTCTGAGTTTGCCGAGGAACAAGTCGTTACTTAAGCCCGCTTGACATGGAGCAATAAAAATTGCAATTGCATGCAAGTTGCAAGAAAAATTGCGAAAGGCATGCGCAGTTCAAAGCCAGCTGATCAATTGCTGCAAGAGACTTGCATGCAATTTTTATAGGACCGGTGCTATTTTTCTTGCATGAATCGTGCAATTCTAGGGATAAATCTAGTTGTTTTTGTGTCACCAACCTAGTAAAATACAGCGGCGGCAACTATGATGCTGAGAGACGCACTCATTACTTGTTTTTATTAATCTTATTTATTCTTGTAATTTTCACGTTTCTTCAAGCAATCAAAATTTAATTTTCATTTGAGGTTAACTACTTTGTTGACAAATCCATATGTTTCTTCTGTTGGCAGACATGTGGCAATTGAAATAGAATTGCACCATGTCAAATACCATGCAATGCTTATTGCATGCAAGGATTTGACCTTGCAATTTCTTTCTGCAAGTTCTTGCGCGTTGTATTGCTCCATGTCAAGCGGCCTTTAAGAAAAAGAACAATCTCCATCGCAATTTCCTCCCATAATTGCTGTTTCAATTTACTCTTCATGTAATAACGTCACTTGTGTCATACAAGACCTTTCTACACCGAACTGCTTCAATTAGCTTCTCCTCAATCTTCCTTTTTGTCGACACACACAAACGAAGAATGGAAAAGTCACTGCTGTTTTGTGATTAGACCGCAGACTATCGCAGACTCACGGCGTACCAAAACTGCGACACGTCACGCTGCGTCCGAACATTCGCTGATGTATAGACGTCCTTTGGTTGCAGAAATCTGTGGTGAGTCACCCTGTGTCACTTCACGTAACTGCGTCTCAACGTTCGCCCTGCCTAAGAGTTTAGTATTTTTTGCATTGTTAGATTGACGGTTTGAATTTCGTTAGTAATTTTTTTCTGTCATGACTGTCATTTAAGAAACCAGTGTGGTTAATTGTTGTGTGCCATTTGCGGTTTATTACTTTGAACAATTTTTGGAGTTGATGCACTAAAATATGTAAGAAACGTGACAGCGGCTCGCGTTAGTTTATAATTTGTGGTAAAACAAAGCAGTATTTGAAGACTATAAATAAGTAAACGATTTACTGAAAACATGATGATTCACCACTGCAATTAAATAAATGATCATCAGTTAGTACGAACTTCATAATTTTTTTAATTTGCCGGAAATTCAAACTGTCATCACTTCTAATGAATCACCCGGTATAATAAAAAAAAGTGTATTGTATGTATTAGTGATTTTCGTTTTTGTACTGTTGGTATTTGTTGTATTTGCGATAAAATTCAGTTAACCAAATTGCTGTGCGTTGTTGTCTTTAAAACTTTAAAATTAAGTTTTTGCACAGTTTCACTTATCATTGATCTTGTTATATAATACAAAATCATATGGCGGACGATGCCGAAAGCGACGATCAGTGGTTATACGGCGACGGCGACGTCGATGCACCTCCGCCACAAGCAGAAAAGCAACCGGAGGTAGAAGAGAAGGAGGCTGTGGCCGAACAAGAAACAGACAACAGTGCCGATCAACCAGAAGTAGTTATAGTTCATTACATATTTTGTAGGAATTCATAGCGTAATTTCAGGAAGCAGCCCCCGAGGCCGATCCACCGCTCGATGACCCTCCCAAAGATAAACCGACGGAAAACGGCGAGGCCGTCGAAGAAGACAAACAAAACGGGGAAGGCAGTGATAAGGAGGACTACGACGAAGACAGTGACGATGACGTTAACGTCGTAATTGGCGATATTAAAACGAGTCCAACGTACGCTTCGCTTAACATAAAAAGGGGCGGCTTACTTACGACTACAACGAAAGGGGACAAAACATTGCAAACGCCCCAAACTGGAAAGTTTACCGTTGAGGAATTCGAACACGTGGGGTTGATCAATGGTATTCCTGCAAGCGAATTTAACTTGGACAGCTTGGAAGATAAGCCCTGGCGGAAACCGGGTGCGGATATTACCGATTATTTTAATTACGGATTCAACGAAGACACTTGGAGAGCTTATTGTGAGCGACAAAAACGGTATTTACATCTGTTACGCATTGTTTAATTTTTTATTTAAAGTTTTATTTTGTAAAGGAAACACTTAGGTCGTTTACGTAATGTCTTGAATGTCACATCCTAAATTTTTCTTATTTAGAATGCGTGTGTCGGAGTCGGGTACTGGGTTGCTGCCCCTGAACGCTATCGGAATGCCACGCGGGCCTCTACCGATTATGAATGATAATAGTAAGTATGCTGGTGCTGCTTATGCAGGAATAAGAAAAGCTGGACCTCCTCCAGGTAGAAGAATGACTGGTTCAATTGACGTTATCGGTGGTGCCACAAGTCGCATTGGTGTTCCCGTTTCGAAAGTAGAGGCTCCCAAAGAAAATGTTATACAGGTAGCCTAATCTTTACATTTGATAAAGATCACACTATACTAGATAGCCGATCTACATGTGTTAGTAAGATTTACGTTTTCTTTTACTAATTCATTCATTTTTAATTTAATCGGTACACGTTTTCTCAAATGGCAAGTAATTAAGTATTCGTGGATGCTGTCCATCTACTAGTTGAATTTGCTGGTGAAGTTTTAATAATGTGATATTCCGATTAACTTCTAAATTTCTTCTCTTCTCAATTTTCTTCATTTATCCTCTTTTTACATTTTCTTTTTTAGCTCTTTCACATCTTTTTCACGCATCCTTCTCAATTTCCTTCTGATCTCATTCGCATTTTCTTTTTTCACAACACATCTTCAATTCTTCTTCCTTTAACTGCATTTTCTTGTATTCTATCACGCTTTTTGCCTGTTTTTTATGACTGCACTTTTGGTCTTTTCAGACACACTTCTCCTTGCTTTTTCACACCTCCTCTATGCTTACTTCAATTTCTTTCCCTGCTCACTTACGCCTTCTTCCACACCTCTCTTCTTTACGCATCCTTTATCATATCACACCAGAGTTTTTCTTAAGAATACAGACAAAGAGATGATGCAAATTATTTCAGCCTAATAAGGGGGTGAAATGTACGTAGCTGGTGTCTATTTAGTGTAGTATGATCTTTGCATGCATTGGGGTTGGATATTAATCGGTACACTGTAGGTGATGACGGCCGATAGACGAGAATATAGCCGAAAGCCAGCCCCATTTCCAGATATGTCTGTCCCACCACCGACGACGTTCGAAGAGTTCCATCCGGAATACGACTTCAATCCTGAACCGGAACCGTTTTACGGCGGCTACGAACCTACTCAAGATTCCCAATGGGGTAAACTTTTTCTAATAGCCTCACACACTTTATAAAATAGTAAACACGCGCAGGAGGTAATTCTTCGTGGCAGCCGCAGGAGATAAAAACTCTAACACCGACCGCCCCACCCGGTCCGGTCATGCCTCCCGCTCCCGTTCCGCCCGTAAACGCACCTATGATGTCGAACAGGCATCCGCCGATGCCCGTCCCTAGCCCCGTAAAGGACGAGATGGCATTGTCTAGACGTTCAAAGTCGAAGGAGAAGGAGTCGATGCGGCGAGAAAGAGATAGATCTCGGGAGAGAGATCGCGATCGAGAGCGTGAACGATCTCATCGTAGAGATAGATCGAGAAGCAGATCTCGTAGGCATAAGTCACGATCGAGAAGTCCGAGTCATCGGTCACATCGTAAGAAGAAATCTAGAAGGCACGAAGATAGTGATTAAGTTAAATAGTTGTCGTAATCCAATTTTATTGTGCATTGTTTATTATTATGCTACTAGGTTCTACAGAAATAAATAAATTGGATTTATGATGCTGTTGAATAAGTTCAAAGGGTACTGGTTTCAACAGAATGGTGCACCCGCGCACAACGCCTTTATTGTGTAAAGATACTATATCGGACAAATTTGTATTTATAATAAAAAAATGCCATCCAATACAGTGTGTACTTGATGTCATATTTTTAATTTGTTCACAATTAAGAATCGTCCTAGAATACCTTTAAAATCTCGTTAGACCCTTCATTTAAGTTCTTGTACAGATGGAATTTTATTAGAATCCCAGTAACGTGACTATAATATATTTAAAAACTTTTTTTAGATTTTTAAAAATCAACTTTGGAATTCGAGTATGCACACTCTAATTTTTGGTGCTTTTTTAAAAAATAAAATGTGGAAAGGAATGGAAAAAATGGAGCACAATAGTTTATAGTGGCTTATCTGATGGAATATGTTAATTTATTTTCCCTACACCATGATGGTAGAAGGGTTTTGATTATAATAAATAATAACGTTACAATTCTTGTTGTTTATTCCAAATTATGCTGTAAAGGATCATGACGGTTCCGTTCGAGTTGGGGCTATAATGTAACTGGAATTCACAGTGATGACCGAAGGCTTTATTAATTTCGTGTGCGTTAATTCAAATTTAAGCGCACTTTCGTATGCGCAGTACTGAGGGAGTCAATGTGCATCACATCTGCAAGTCGTACATACAGTTAATTGTTTATACTATAAATCTGATTCTTAATGCATAAGTTTACTTTGAAAAAAATCACCTGTTGAAGTGCAAGTGATAAGGAAATCAAGAGAGATTGTGGAAGAAGTGCCGCAATGACTGAAGAAATTGGGATGCGAATCCTGGTAACCGATAAGGGCCCCCCTCTGTCGCATTTTGTAAAATGTTTACGACGAGAGTGCCTTTTTTACTTGGTTTGCTGATGACTAGCTATCCTTGTTCCTAAAGATGGCAGGTGTCGGAGAAGAGATGTCAACAACGAGGGTATTAACAGTGGAGATCGGTTCTCAATCCTTGGCAGCAAGCCAAATGGAAGTTGTAAAGTTGGTAAGATTCGTTTTAATTTGAAATTTACGATTTGAAATTGGAATTGTGTAGGTAGCCCTGCCACGGGTAAAGGTTTAGTCAAACTGACGCAGTGGAACTGTTTGTACAGCTAAGAAACGTAGGTCTAGCGCCCAGAATGAAGTTTAACGAAGTAACGCAGAATTGACAGTCTTCCCGGAAGTACCAGGATATACAATGAAATCGTCACAATCGTAGTATGAATGTTCTGCAAGTCAGTGATCATTTCTCTGTATTAAACGTCGAATTGAACGCAGCTGACATAACCTACTTCAACGGATTAATATGAAGGGTAGCAAAATGGCAGAGCCCTATCGTGCCTGATAAATAAATCGGAAACTAAATATACCGCAGCAAGTTGTTTTATTATAAACCGTCGATACTATAAGGTACGTCATATGTTAAGGCTAGCGCAAGCAGTGCTTACGTTCACCAGACGAAGCGCTACCCAAAGACAGTTGAATACTCTAGCAAGGTTTTTCTCACGAGTTGCTGTGTCGAGGTGTAAATACCACTGTACGTCGACTCACAGTGATGTGTAGACCTCGACAGTGCTATCAAACATCCGTCTTTAGGTAGCGCTAATGAAGCACTTCGTCTGGTGAACATATTATCGTAACCGTCACCACGAAACTTTTAAAGGTCTACAAACTTACCCCACATCAACATATCAATGAAATCTTAGGCGTCTTGATTCCAAACACGAAAAAAGGTGCACAAAACGTTAAGTTTTAAAGGCAAACAAACGAATTTAAAATAGGACGCCATCTTCTTGTTCTTGCGATAACATTTAACACGACATCGAAAAGACCGATTTGTGAACACTTCCCCGCCGGTTTTTGTTACTTTAAGCGTTGAATTTAACAACAAAATCAAAATTACGTGGTCGCGTCCCGAGATCCTACACGCAAACGCCGATTTAAATTCGTACGAAAAGGAGAAGGGACGCCATCACTTTTTGTAGTTTAATATTACGTTTAAATGCCGATTTACGTATGATGAACCGAAACGAACTATGTGCCAGAATTGTTCCCGTCTTTTATTTGACTTTTTTTAAGTTTATTTTAATATCGCACTTCGTAAATGAGCAGCAAACCGAAAAAATACAACACGCTTGGAACGGCAGCAACGACTAGTTGGTCACGTGACGAAGATAGTGATCATGACGTCACAGCTGCAAGACTCGCTACGATTCGCCCGTTTCAAAAAATGGTCCAATCAAATGCATCCGGCTTTTTCTGTTTACTAGTTATTCCCGGAATTCTAAAGCGATGGCAAATTTACTTCCCAATATCTAAAAACTGTTGCTATGCAAAACGTTTTCACACAGAAATGGCGAAAATAACTTTTCTGCTTCCCCTTTATTGGTATACATACCTACATCCATCATACGTGGGCGAATGTCCGTGTCATTTAATCCAAAACGTAAACTAAAGCAATTTCATGCAACCAAAATAGGACCCAAACAAACGAAAGTTGCCCTAAATCGTGAAATGTGGAAGTTTCCCATATTCCCGTGAGGTCCGGGCGTAAGGAACCCCCCTCCCCCCCTGAAACAAATTCAGTACATCAATCGTTAGATTTTTGTGACTCCCGGTACTTCGTTCTTGTTTAAAAACATTCAGCCCTAAGGGCAGCCATGACAATTTATTATAAAAGACCATCAAACCTTCCTTTCCCTACCCCACAGACTTGCGGTGTTATGGTTCGTGGTCCTTTCTTAAACGTTACGGTGTATAAGTGCTAAAACCATTAAATATTTTGGGGGAGAATGTCTCGAATACCTCCCCAGGAAATGAAAATTCACCGTTCCTTTCCCTACACCTAGCATAACATTTCGTACACTAGAGGGGATGGCTCAGACTGTTCCTACAATTACCATAAGATATTTTGATGAGAAGATTCGTTGCTTTCGTTTGGGATAAAATTATTAATAGATAAATCTACGATACGAGTAGCCCCAAATCGTGAAATGTGGAACTTTCCCATATTCCCATGAGGTCCGGGAATATGTTCACAATTAAGAATCTTCCTAGAATACCTTTAAAATCCCATTAAACCCTTCATTTAAGTTCTTGTACAGAGGGAATTTTATTAGAATCCCGGTAACATGACTATAATATATTTAAAAACTTTTTTAGATTTTTAAAAATCAACTTTGGAATTCGAGTATACTTTTGGTGCATTTTTAAAAAATAAAATGTGGATTGTTATTAGAATATCCCTAGAACTCCTCCGTAGGGATTGTTTACAATAGTTCTAATTATTTTAGAATCTTCTTTTTAGAATCGTTACATAGGTATACCTAATCTTTAGAAACCCTACAATTTCGTTATAAGTTTCTTAAAATCGTCATAGAATCCCGCTCGTATCGTATGGGTGGCATTCCCTAGGTATAGATTTTTTCAGCTGGCGTCAACAGTCGTCTGTATGACTTAACGACAGTCGTGGTATGACTGCCAGCAGGGGCGGACTGGGTACTTACGGGCCAGGTGGAATTGCATAGGTTACGGGCCATTAAAAAGTATTAGTGTAATGATGGCGGGGGGGGGGGGTTGCAGCTCTGCTTTTTTGCTTCATTTTAAAGTATTCCTCTCTTGAAAGTCAATTAGAATATACAGTTTTTTTTAATTGCAGCTGATAATTAAAGGTAACAAAATATACATAATCTAAACGAGGCGCGTCGCTTGTAATTGTGTTTCAGCACTTTCAAAATACGACAAAAAATGATAAATTCATTGTAATACACTTAAATAAAAACAGAATTTTTTAATGAACAACCTAACATCAACCTCAATGAGAAAAACGTGTTAATAATTTATTAATAGTGCAAGAAACTTAATACAGCACAGACTTATAAATTTTCAACGGGCCAATATGACCTACAGGCCAGGTGGCAAAAATTCAAAGGGCTGTAACTTTTGAACTAGTAGCCCAATCTTGGAACTGTTTGAAATTATGGATTCTACAGGCCACATTCTAAAAGAAAAATTTTTGTCCGGGTCGATCTGAGACAATTTTTTCTTCGGGGCAAAAAAAAAGGCAGTGTATTACCTTCCTTTTTTTTACCAAAAATCGACTACACCAAAAATTCTCGGGAAAACACTTTTTCTTATTAATTTGGGTGCGTAGAATCCAAATCAATTCGTACTTTTTCGATCAGACTTCTCAATCAAAAGTTATAGGCTAGAAACCAATTTCGAAAAAAAAATTCAAAGGGCTGTAACTTTTGAACTAGTAGCCCAATCTTGGAACTGTTTGAAATTATGGATTCTACAGGCCACATTCTATAAGAAATTTTTTTTCCGGGTGGATCTGAGACAATTTTTTTTTTCGGGGCTCAAAAAAATGCAGTGTATAACCTTCCTTTTTTACCAAAAATCGACTACACCAAAATTTCTCGGGAAACACTTTTTCTTATTAATTTGGGTGCGTAGAATCCAAATCAATTCGTACTTTTTCGATCAGACTTCTCAATCAAAAGTTATAAACTAGAAACCAATTTCGAACAAAAATTCAAAGGGTTGTAACTTTTGAACTAGTAGCCCAATCTTGGAACTGTTTGAAATTATGGATTCTACAGGCCACATTCTATAAGAAAATTTTTTTCCGGGTCGATCTGAGACAATTTTTGTTCGGGTCTCAAAATTATTAACACGTTTCTCTAATTGGGGTTGATGTTATGTTGTTAAATGTTTTAATTGAAGTGTTTTACAATGAATTATCATTTTTTGTCGTAGCATGAAAGTGCTGAAATACAATGATAGGCGATGCACCTCGTGTGGATTGTATATTTTGTTACGTTTCAGCTGCAGTTTAAAAAAAACTGTATGGTAATTGATTTTCGAGAAAGGAGTACTATTTTTGTGGTGCACCTCAGAGCTAACCCCCCCCCCCCCCGCCACCTTCATTACTACACTAATACTTTAATGGCCCGTAACCTATATGCAATTCCACCTGGCCCTTAAGTACCCAGTCCGCCCCTGCTATCCGCTATATTTAATTTAAATTCTTGAGAGGATGGCATTTTACATTATTGTAGATAATGATAAATAATTTCCAAATCTACATGCGTAATAAACTTTTTGATATTGCAATTACAAGAATAAGGGGTAAGGACATGTGAGCTGCCGAAAAAGTAGCGATTTTGCTTATTAAAGCGAAGATCATTGTCTGAAGTACTTAGTATGAACTTCGTTCAACCCATCCTCCTTTATGTTTTAAATAAAAATTGTTTTGGTACTAGCCGCATTTTTTACTTTAAATATTTATGGTAGGTTTAAATTAGGTCGTTGAAATAATTGAATGCGTCCACTTTTGGGGATTATCGATTTGTGTCGCGAAGGTGGCGCTACCGGAAAGAACCATAACCTAAAATGTTCTGTTTCCTTTTATAACGTTGGTTTGACCCCGCAAAATGGGTGAGTGAAATTTTTAAAATATCTTCTTGTATATTAACCATCCGTTACATTTTTAATTATATTGAAGTTAATTATGATCAGTGGAATTGTTTTAGCTATAAATTATCGTTAATTTTTTTGTCAAAACCTTGACACTGTCTGTTTTCTGGATAATTTTCCATGCTCTTCGTTTACAAGTAATGATGATTGTTTATTGCAGACATTTATTAGTGCTGATGAAAAACTAAATCATTCCACAGCGCTCTGATACAAACATTTTTCATTTACAAACTCTACCAAGCTTTGAGGTTAGAAACTGACATGTCCCTGTTTCAGGTATTAGCAGAGATCACTGGCATAAACGGCGTGCAACAGGTGGAAAACGTAAACCACTGCGTAAGAAGAGGAAGTTCGAGTTAGGTCGACCGGCCGCAAATACAAAACTTGGCGCGCGAAGAATACACTATGTTCGAACACGAGGTGGAAACTTGAAATACAGAGCATTGCGTTTAGATCACGGTAACTTTGGCTGGGGTTCAGAAGGAATTGCACGCAGCACGCGTATTATCGACGTAGTGTACAATGCGAGTAATAATGAGTTGGTCCGTACTAAAACTTTAGTAAAGAATGCCATCGTTGTTGTTGACGCTACACCGTTTAGACAATGGTACGAAGGTCATTATATTTTACCGTTAGGACGCAAGAAGGGAGCAAAGTTGGTATGTATCGAAACACATTCACAACTGCTAGCGTTTGTGATGAGTTTGCGTGTCAACTGAATTCAGTGATTATGCTCATTTAAGTTTAACTGAAATTGATGCCGCTTTATTTTTCTTATGTCATGCTTTACGTTCTTGAAAGATGTATTTTGTAGTCTGAAGCCGAAGAAGCCGTATTAAACAAGAAGAGAAGCAAAAAAGTCACACGCAAATACACGACCAGACAACGGACGGCTAAAGTAGAACCTGCACTTGAAGAACAATTCCAAACTGGACGCATCCTTGGTAAGAGTTCCTTAGTTCTACACTTTGCTTAATTCACTAGTGATGATAAACTTAAGCGAGCCCAAGTTCCGCTGCAATTCGTCTTGAATTACACCTTTGGTGCTGTGATCAAGCTGTCATAGTTACTCTGAAATTAAGTGTTTTTCTCAATTGAAAACTTACCATTTTAAACATTTTTAACATTAATTTTTTTCTAGCGTGCTTGGCATCTCGTCCTGGACAGTGTGGTCGTGCCGACGGGTATATTTTAGAAGGCAAAGAACTTGAATTTTACATGCGTAAGATTAAATCGAAGAAGGCTAAATAGATGTAAATAGTGCGTTTTGAATAAATCTATCTAACGCTGATTGTTATCTTTTATTTTGTTTTACCTCTTTTTGTACTGTTTTAAATTGTGATTTTAACTAAACTTTAATTGTAATTCTTTGAAAAAACATCCAATCGCATCCCTTAACAAATTATAACACCGGCGGTATTGTCTGAATTTTGAGTAATTCATTGTGGATAACGCAAACACGAAAAAACATAAATTGTATCTGTTAACGGTTTAGTGCAGGAGTCGGCAACCTGTGGCTCTTTTAATGTAAAGGTGCGGCTCTGCATTTATCTAAAAAAACTTATTACGAAATTGAAAGTACACTTGCAGCACATAATTACCTAATTTGCGACACTTGTTTGTCTTTTTTTATTATGACAGCCTACTCCGATGTATAAATATCTAATTAATTAATAAGAAAAAAATTTTAATAACATAAAAATTATGAATTTTAAGCACAGGACACCTCGTATAAAAATTGAAGAGAACACAAAACACAATCGAATAGCGAAATAAAATAGTGGTAGATAAAAATTTGAAAAATAATAGTTATGGTACTGTTGAACAAATGACAAGGAAACAAGTACAAAAGGATGTTCTATTTAAATTATTGACACCTTAAAATGGGACACCCTGTACATTCAAAAATAATTTCTGTAGATCCACAACCATGTATAGTTGACATTTGCACACAAGATTTTTTAAAAACTTTACCAGCTAGAAATGTAATGTTGCAGGACCCTGTATATGACCAAATATTATAGTATTGATTCAAAAATTTTTAGTGGCTCTTTAAAAACTGGGAAATTTTGCAAATTGTAACTTTTGGCTCTTCCGTTTCAATAGATTGCCGACCCCTGGTTTAGTGCAACTACCAGCAACAGAATTTTATTGATAGCTGGGTTGACAATTACTTAATTGTGTAAATTTCTGTTAAAACATTATTTCAAGCTAAGTAGAAATGCCTGTATAAATTCTGTACACTTGAAGTTCTTAAAAGAGGCAGAAATGTTTGTTTCTTGTGATTCTGTTAGGATATTTCCTGGATGCAATGATTTATTTATTTAGTTAACTGAACCTTTTTTTCTACCTTTTGCATGCCTATTTTTATACCCCTTTCTCAGCTCAGAAAAAATGTGAAAAAGGGATAGAATGTCTGAAAATGTTCTATGTAAACCGTTGTATCATGTATGGCCAATACAGGGTTCGCAACTGATTTTAGCAAAAAAAATAGAGACTTGGTCTCTAATTACATATTTAAAAATAGAGACCATTTAGAGACCTTCGAGAACCAATTTCCATACAAAATTAAGCAAAAAATATTTATTTTGTAATAGATGAGATACATAAACGGCAATATATCTAAACAAGTATAAATTGTGCACAACTCTTGTGAGGATAAAACGCATTTTTTTTTAACCCAAATAGCTTTTTTTTGACATCACCAATGGATATATTTCTTGCAGACGTCCCAATGGCCCTTTGTGAGTACTATGTGAGTACCTTCTTCCGACAATCCGTTCTCGAGGTATAAGGGAATATACCCGATCGCGATAAGAGGTCGAGGAGGAGGGCTATGGTTGGTAGAAATTAATTCCTTTCGTTGAGACCTTTCATTAGAGTACCATGAAGGATAAAACTAGTTCCACCCCCCCTGCCCCTCCTCACCGTACTTTGATAAGAGGACAGAAAGAAGGGCAGTAGTTGGTAGAAAACGGTTCCTTTCGTTGAGACCAATTGGTTGTCGTATGTAAAAGTTATGCACGTTTTACTTTCAAAAACAGCATCTCAGGAAATAATTCGTGGGGGGGCCCCCCTTTTAGACAGCGAAATTTGGTGGCCGTCTGGCACACCTTCAAAGTATAGGCTACCTACGGCAAAGAATTCCAGGATTACCTACCATTCTCCTAGAAGTAGTTCGAAACGGCAGAAGTGGGTCCGGACGGACAAAACGCATTTTTTTTAATTCTTAAAAAATGCGCTAAAAATGTAAAATTTCTGCGGTTTATCAATTATGAATTATACTTTTTTAACATGCAAAATTTAGAGACTTTAGAGACCAAATATGAAAAATAGAGACTTTTAGAGACCAGCATTGAAAAAAGAGACCATTTGCGAACCCTGCCAATAGTATAGCAATTTATTGCTCTGGCTAACTTTCGATTGCTTTGAACTGCACCTTGTGTCGTTTTTGTAAAAAACTAGTGCACTCTAAAAGCTCTGAAGTGTAGGTACATCAAAAATTTTAAACAGGGAAATTCTAGAGGGCGCCCGAAGAGCCTCAAAATTAAAGTCACTATATTTAGTGACTTTACTCAAAATTTAAAAAAAACGCCATGGAACCCAGGGAATTTTCTCTAGAAAATGTTGAATGTTCTGAATTCTTGTAAACGTTCTTTTTCCCAGAAATATTCTGAGCATTCTCCAATAAAAAGCTCTACCTTTAATTAAATAGGTACGCATTTTCATTTTACATTTATTCATACTTAAATAAGTAAATAAATAATAAACTGGAAGATTCTAAATTATTTATTTATGTCGTCGCTTATCATTTTCTTTATATAGAAACAATACCATTTTAACGTTCCAAATTATAAATTGAGTTCGTAGCACGGATGCACTTTATTCATAATCGCAGATTAGATGAAATGTAAATACATCTAAGACGTCGATGTTGCAATCTCGCTCGAGAGAGTAGAATTGAATGCGACCCAAAAGGGAACGTGCATGTCAAAACAAAATGTGGTTCGTCTCGCGGCGAGTTGTAGGTCGTTCAAATATCGATTATTTTGATAAGGAATTTGTGTTGTGGAAAATTTCCATCGTATCTTGGAATGCTGCGAATTAACTCCTATCTCCTTATCAGATGTGCGCTAATTCGGATTGCGTAATCGGAGTTTTTGTGATAAAAAAACAACGTCTCCATGTTTCGTGTTTTGTTGAATTAAATTCAATCGTATTTTGGGAACGTTAGTTACGTATAAACGTTTTGGATACCTGTTATGATCGAAATTCGCATACAATCCGCAAATAATGTAAGTAAACTTTCTTTTAAAATTTTTGTGTAATTTACTTGGTAGAGAGTACGGTTGCTTGCTTTGTTGTCATGTTTGTTTTAGCTCTAATTGTGACGAAATAGTTTAATTTGAAAAAATGTAGAAAGATCCATCAAATAGGCGATTAATTTATCTCGAAATTCAGCCGTTCGGGTCAAGGTCGTTGGGGGGCGGGTACTATCTGCACACATTTGCTGCCCCTCTTTTAAAACGCGAAATTAATTCATTTCCGCGTGTCAAATTGCAATTTAGGGGATGTAGGGGCTCACTCCCGTCCTTGTAAGTTTGCCATAAAAATGAAGCCGTCTTTGGCGATTTAGGGGGGGTTTGTCTTCAACCCTTTTTGTAAACTTCGTACAATTTGTTCGCAATTCGTTCGCACAAAGAACTGTTCTATTGTACTGATCGCTGACTAAAGAATGCAATCGACAGATCTGATGGTAGCACTTGTAGATAGTAGATCAAGTTGCAGTATAATTTTCTTAGATCATTGGAATATAAGATAATTTTACTTCAAAGTGGAGTGGCACAGGGATTAGATTTGGGGTCGTCACTATTTATTAATAGGGGGCAAGCAAGTTGCATCTCAAACCTCTCCTCTCGTTAACAATTCTTGGTAGTAATGCGCCAATCAATGCATGAATTTTCCATTGGTCACGCCTTTAAATGTTGAATTAATTGAATATTATCAAAGCATAATAAGTATCTCGTGATCTCGATAAACATAGGACACGTGTTTTTAGTATACAAATTGGTTCGATGGTAAATGTAGTTACAAGGCGATTAACGAGTGAAGTGATTGTGACCAAAAACGGCGACTGCCACGGTGCGATAAGTTTATGTGCCCAATTTAATTGGAGTAATTAAAAATCACGAGTCGCTGACGGTCGACGGCACTCGTCTAATCAATAGTGGTGTGTTACAAACGACCTTGATTTATACAGTTGCCACTCGATACAATGGGAATGCATTATCGCATCAGAACTCAAGTACGTACTTTGGGGATGAAAGCGTGTCGCATCGCTTCCCGTCATTTTCCATTGAATTGATCACTTTAGGAAAAATTCGCCCGACATACGCATTTACATGTCAGGCAGCCGTTCTGGGCATTTGAATTGTAATTATGGGACCATTACTTGCTTATAACACTATTATCTACGAATTCCGGTACGCTTTCATATCATAATTTACGACGAACTCGGGTCGTATGTAGATGGAACGGCAATCGCGTGTGTGAAGAAGGTATGCAACTCTGTAGTGCCGTTTCCGTACTATCTCAAAATGACAAAAATCTGTTACCTACTAAGCACGTCGTTATTTTGATGTACTGGCTAACGGCATTTGGAAACTAGCCAGTACACTGGATATCGATACATGTACAACAGTACTATGGTACTACCTCGGGTACTACATATACTTTGCGATCAAAGTCACCTTTGGAATTTTTGTTTACATAAGGAAATCGCGAGGGAAATCGTACATAACTTGAATTTCCAAAGGTGACTCGATAGCAACGCATTTTTGATCGCCCGTTATATACCTACCTATCAGTGTTTGATGTATTTATTGGAGCATAAGTTTGTACTGGCTACTGTCCAAAAATAACGGAAATTGATAACCAGGAGATAAATACAATAACAGTACGACCAGTACCATTTAATACCACTTAAGGATCGATTGAATGTACATTCCGTTTTCTGATACCTTTACGATTATACCAGCATTGGTTGCCTTCCAAATTTCGCTAGGCGGTGCAGGGGATGTTGATGTCCGGTTGTGAAAGGTCCCCCACAGATGATCTAAGAATGCCAGAGAATAAACAAAAAATTCCTTAAGCCGCTTGTGAGCAAGAGGCACTTCCAAATTTGTTTTTTCGATTTTAATAGCCCTTATGGCCATGCCTTAACGAGAATACAAACATGAAATAATTCGAGAAATAATTTTTTTTCACTACTAGCGTCTGATGACATGATTATTAACCTTTTTTCCACTTGTAAAGTAGGCTTTCTCGGCATTTGTTCAAAGTGGTTAATAATGTGGACATTATTAACTAGTAGTCAATAATGAGAACTGTCACGCTGTCACTTTTAGAAAACACAACCCGAAATTTCGCTCAAAAAACGTTTGGACAAGTTCTCTAAAATGAATAATTGCCACCATCCACCATTTCCAGAGGAATTACATACCTAAAATTACCACATTTTGAAAAAATTCGAACGAAATTACTCTTTGAAAATATCTCAATGACAGAACAAAATACGGCCTGTTTGACTTGTACTTCTACGTACTTGATTGACATGTTAAATTAATAAACAAAAAATTCTGTCCAACCGTTCACTTTCTTATCAATATAATATGTTAATTTAGAAGATTTCAAGTGCTAGTAGTGAAAAAAATAGTATATATACCACGGTAGAGAAGTCTATTATTGCCTTCGCACCTTACACCCCTCGGCGCAAGCGCCTCGAGATGTAATCTTGGTGCTCAGGCAATAATACTGTACTTCTCTACCTTGATATATAATGTACTATTAATTTCTAATCGAATGACACCAATATCAAGTCTGTAAGTGGTGTACTTTCGGAGCCTTTGTGACTCAGACAGACAGACAAATCAAGAGCGTAAAAGTGAATTTTTTTAAAGTGAAAGTGCACTAAAAATACGAGGATTAACGTTCAGGTGATGACGACTTCGATTGTCTATATAATTTTCTATTATTTATGACTTGTGAGTTAAAATAACATAGCATTATGGAGGTTTTTAGGGTAATCAATAATGCCCTAAAAGAAGTGTGGATGCGCTTACTAACCGATATTTTTATTTGAATTGTTTTAGTTACGTTTTACTTTTTTGTTTCAGATTTTGTTTATTTTATTAGTTGTGTTCCACTTTTTTGCACGTTTAACGTGAAATGTCGGCGAACTCTGGTGGTGGCGACAGACATCGTGCTCGTACAACTTCTATTGGATTTGGACTTGGAGCGCTGCGTGTCTCATTTCGGGGATTATTAAAAGATTCGAGCTTGTAAGTCTAGTTTTTGTTGTTGTCATTGTGTCGTTCATTTAAAGGACACCTACAATCAATAGAAAGCATTACTGACGTCAGATAAGGCCAATTGATTTTTGTAGCCTTTAAACAAAACCGCCGATAGTTTCAAGATAAGAGTAAGGAGCCAAATATGATGAATTGACATTCAAAATCAAAGGTCACCAATTTTGTAAAAACAAATCACTATCGTTGGTTAATAAATAAAACAAAAGGTAAACATTGCAAAGTAGTTCTAATCATTCAGCTGCTGGTTGTCACGTTGGAAACAAAATATGAAAAAAAAAACGTGACGAATCAATAAACATTGAACAAAAAAGTGATATGTGGCGGCAGCGAGATTTTATCATCCTATAAACACAAATATCATAAAGTTTATGTTTTTGGACTTCTGTTTAATTCATTGATACCGTATCTACTTCCTATGGGAATTACGTAATATCGTTATCTAATCTTACACTCTTATCCAGTATTAGATGCCTTAATTAAAGCACTCTGCATAAGAGCCTTCTGTTCTACCTAAGGTCCTTCCATAGTCTAGATGCAAAGATACTGTGGTCCTTTTTTGGTGTTTGGAAGTGACGTTTTCGTCTTCCTAATAGCATTGAATAAATAATTCGGATGTAAACAACCAATCTTTTTAACGTTCGTTTTTAACTGTATGCTACCAAGTATTTTGTGTTGCATAAGTAACGGGCGAGATATGTAAACGTTATAATACAATTGTCATTTATTTCATACGTAACTAGAATAAATTAAAGTTTTTTTTCCTGAATTTCAATTAATTGGCGAGGGACATTGATCTCCATTCGATCATTTAGTTGTGAATTATGTATTCAGCATTTTAAAAATGGCAAATTATCTCCTGAAATAGTCTACCGGGAGATCCATTATGAATATATTTCACCCGAATCGAATTACTCCAGAAAATGCGGCGTTTGAGTCACGCTACGTTTATTATTCCAATTAAATGGCGGGTCAGCAGAATTTATTCTAAACAAAAACATCACTTTCTAAACGAATAGGGACAGACTTTGATGTTATTGCACACTATTGTTTAAAGAAGGTATTTGAAGCTTGTTAATATACAGGGTGGTGACTTGCGTAACGCATCATAGGGATTTCAATGTAAAATTCATAACATGCGGTTATTTGCTCCCCAAATTATTTTAGAGCAAAAATGTATTAAGGTTTTTTATAGAAAAAAATTTTTTACGTCAATCAATTACCGTATTAGTTTTCAATTTTTTGCTTAATAAAGACGGAAAATTGGAAAAATAAAACCCCTATCTTTTTCAATAATCTGTGATGCCATGGAATTTTATTCAAAAACTACGCCAATATCCGTCATGCCATGGAATGTCTACTATAAAACAAATGAAATTCTATCAAAAAGTATTATATTTAGAACCGCGAATTCAACATAAAGAAAGACCAAATTACTAAAAACGGTTTCCTAATATAACAATTTACAATAAATGTTCGAATAAGTCACCATTAACTGCAAACAGTAACCAAGTCGATCATAAAATCCATTTCGAACTGCTGATATCTTTTTGTTTTAGAAAATTCCATGGCATCGTAGATTATTGAAAAAGATGCGAGTTTTATTTTTCCAATTTTCCGTCTTTATTATGCAAAAAGTTGTAAACGTAATGAAAAGGTTATAAACAAATGAGGTGTAGGTGTACAAGTTTAAAAATTTGATGTCGACTTTAACAAGCTCCCTTCGAAATGGTACCGAAGGCACCCTCCGCGCCTTGTCGAGACGGGCGCGTATGGTCTGCAGTATGAGGGATAGGTTAGGTTTATAAATGCAACTCGATAAACGTCATTAACAAATGTAAATATCCCGAATGAATTTCCTGAATTCGTAAAAATGAAACAATTTTAAGAATCGGGTATATGTAAAGAATGTGAAGAACTTGAAATATCAGAATCCGAAGATCACAATGAGAGTTTTCTAAAGAAGCCCAAGAATCGAAAGCATTTGCAAGATCTAAAGAGAAGAATCGGAAGACACTTGAAAAATTCAAGAGCAAAAGAATCGGAATGATTTCGTGGAACTGAACCTGAATCCGAAGAATTTAAACAATCCGAGACTATGGTCAGAAGAAACTGAATAATCTGTAAAGTTCCAGATGTTTGAAACTCGTAATAAGATCTGAAAGATGATTCGCATTCGAATACCTATCTTTTATTAATATTCTCTTCACTTACTGTGAATTATAATAACTACGTGCCCATCTTGGCTTCTAAGGAATTCAACAATGGTTAAGTGAAACTTCGAAATTCAGAACGCAGGATTTTTTCAATTCGTAGTTGTTTGGGTAAATTTTACCTAGTAGGTAATCAAAATTTTTATACAGGGTGGCTTATTTTATCTTATTTGCAGGAAGCCATGGATTTTTGAAACAAAATCAATTTGGTCCCGAAATAAGAGGCATTTGTTTCCATATAAATGGATTACTGGGTGACTCTTAAAAATATGAGATAATAGCAATTCTCCCTGTTTTTGAAAGATAGCAGATAGCAATGATAGTGACTGTTCTTGTTGCTCTTCAGAATTACGGTGTAGAAACATTTAAACAATTTCTGACTCACTCTCGCAAAACGGTGTAATTGGGCAAGTGTGTTACTTTCGACATTCATCGAAATAAAGTCACCTTCACAAGCTTGAGGTAAGCTATTGAATTGAATTGAATCTTGAGTTCCGCGGTCTCGGCGCATTTAGTACAATGAAATACGAGACCACCAGAAGGGGCAGTTACCCTAAGGGGCCAAATACGTTTTCACACATTTCCCATCCTAAGTTATTGGGTCGCAATTTCCAGATCTCGATTCTTTCGAGTCTCGTACATTCATTTTCGACGGTAAAGAAAGTGTATTCTTCTAGTGACCTCGATCTTGACAAATAAGCGTATTGCCTACGTAACCGCGTTGATTAAAAAGGCATCAAGCTAGGTGATCGCGGACGGACGGACGGACGGAATTCAATTGTGTATACATATTTACGAATAAAATTTCGTTTTCTTTTAAATCAAATATCGCAACCAATTGAAATGCGCGTAGAAAAACGCGAGGGGCGAATTTTATTACACTTTAATGGATTTTATATTAGTTCATGACGTCAGTGTAACAAAATATTTGTATTGATTGGGTTCGCATCGTCGTTTTATTAATTCCAATTAAAGTGTTGTCGGCAATAACAGAATTTATGAGGTTGGAAATTGAAATTAATGGTTGTCTGTGACGTGAATTTTAAGTTTGAGGCACGAGCGCGCAAGTAACGAGTGAACCAAGACTAGCGATTTTTTTTTTGAGAACTAAAAGAAAATCTACTTTAACAGCATGGCAACATTGTCGACACTAATTTTTATCTTCCTCTTAAAAAAGTTTTTAAATTAAATTTTTCCATTGCAGGCTAAACGTATAAAGCATGGATTCGACAAATGTATCGATATCGTGGGATTCGTTCCTAAAGGCTATAAACGATATGAAAATGTTATCCGATAGTATCAACGACGATTGGCTACTAAACGAACATAGCGCCGGTGTTTACTTGTCTAAAAAATTAGTTAAAAGTGTATCCGCACGGTTGTTCGCCCTCGAAGAGTGTGACAACGACGGGGGAGATAACGATGTTTTAATTACGTACGAATACCATGTGGTCTATAACGCCAGTTATGGCTGCCCCGTTTTGTGCTTCAACGCCTGGAAGACCGACGGTAGCTTACTAACAATCGAAGAATGTTGGAAACAATTTAATTTTGCCAATGCCGATTATAAATACAACACGCTGACACAAATGGAACACCCCTTACTAATGAGGCCTTTTATAACTTTGCATCCGTGCAAAACTTCAGAATTAATAGGAACGTTGATGAAAAGTAACAATCTCGTCGTTTCGTGGCTTAGTGCCGTTGGGCCCGTTGTGGGACTGGATGTGTCTTCGTGTTATGCAAGCTTGACCCTTTGAATATTCTGTGAAGCATTACTAACCATAAGAATAAAACTATAGAAAATGATCCGCCGCAGTTTTTAATTCATCTAGCAAAATATCTATATAATGGTTCACGGAGACGTTAACATATTTCCATTACAGCAAGTGATAGTTGATAGTAAAAAAACGTTGGAAAAAACAATTGAAAATCTGCTTTTCTAATTAAATTTTTTTCGCGAACCACCCTGTATATTATTTTATATGAAGTTCGCGTCTTCATTAAAAAACGAATAATATCAAACGACTTTATAATCAAGGTGGCGATTAAATCTGATATTAGTGTCTGGAACAGGTGAAAAACTGCCTAGGTATTCGAAAATAGAATTTCTTCTCCCAGAAATTGTTTGGATTTTTTCCAAACTCTAATGACCACAACCGATCGTTAGATAAAATGGTAAATGCTTCTACCTACATTTACGCGATAAATAAAGAGACAAACTTTTAATTTCCACTGATATTCTGTTGACAGAAAAATGTATAAAGCGAAATATAATTTTAAATTCCAAATAGTCTAGGCGATAGAGACTGTAAAATTGGCAAACTGGACATTTTGAGGTGGAAAAGAAAAAAATGGTGGAATATGTTCAGTTAGGTGTCAGAAACAACATATTAAAAATCCCAGCCCCCAGACCCCTGTACTAAAGGCTCCAGCCACCCCACCATCCCCCAAAAACCGCGTTTTCGCTCTTTTTGGCTGATATCTCGCGATCTATGAGGTCTATGTGAAATATTTTTACCTGAAAATATTTCTCGGGAAATTTCATACGAGGGAGATACTCAGAAGTTAGCCTAGGTGTACCTCTTAGCCTAGGAAATTCATAAAAGAGGCGAAAATATACAATTTTCGTGGCTTTTTGCAAATATATCGCGACCTTTAGCCTAGAAAATTCATTTTCGTGTTTTTTTTTTGAGGTTTTTTGCAAAAATATCGCGACCGTCAGGGCTAGATGAAATATGTTTAGCTGAAAATGCTCTTCGTGCAATTTCATACGAGATAGGTAACTGAAGAGTTGGCTTAGTCACCTTTCACCTTCAACTTTCATGTGTGAGGAAATATTCATTGTAAAACAAAGTATTTCTATGTACCATTTATTCACGTAAAAACAGTATTTTCATAACAAAATATTCACACATTCATTTATACCTCAACGTAATCATTATCCTTATACTTATCCAAATCAATTCGTAATTTTTCGATCAGACTTCTCAATTAAAAGTTAGATACTAGAAACCAATTTGAAAAAAAATTCAAAGGGCTGTAACTTTTGAACTAGTAGCCCAATCTTGGAACTGTTTGAAATTATGGATATTTTTGCAAAAAACCGCAAAAAACACGAAAATTGATGATTTTCGCCTCCTTTTTGAATTTCCTAGGCTAAGAGGTACACCTAGGCTAACTTCTGAGTATCTACCTTGCATAAAATTTCCCGAGAAATATTTTCAGCTAAAAATATTTCATATAGACCTCATAGATCGCGAGATATCAGCCAAAAAGAGCGAAAACACGGTTTTTGGGTGATGATGGGGAGGCTGGAGCACAGGGTTTGGGGGGTGGGATTTTTAATATGTTGTTTCTGACACCTAACTGAACATATTCCACCATTTTTTTCTTTTCCACCTCAAAATGCCCAGTTAGATGTCTTTATCGCCTAGACTAAAATGTTGTATAAAGTAAATTTAATAAAACCTGAATAAAATGTATTGTAACGTGATTTATAAATTCTGGTTCGATTTATATCAATATTTATTAAACAAAACTAAAACACTATAAAAACCGTACAATTTATATCGACTATTTATATCACACACTTCGCAATTTATATTTCCGCGCTCTATGTTTCATACGTACTCGATCTCGTTCGGTAGTAGACTGTCGCGATGTTCGGTCCGCAACCATTTATACACGCAAGCAATGTAAGTCCAGAACATTCGCGTAATTACCAGATACGTGCAAACATTCCCACTATCGCGCGCCTAGAAAATTCCAGAGCGCCAAAGGCGACGTCATGTCTGAAGCGTTTCCGTTACAGTATAAAAACACAACTGATGTGTGATATTAACCGATGGCAATTGGTTTTCCCAGCAATTTTGAATGGGAAGGTTTTATTTTCAAAAGGCTTTTTTTTAAAATAAACTAAGGATAAAAGTCTTATCTGAAAGTTACATTCTCATAAAGTGTAAAACTTGCGAGAAAACTTGTATTTCTTGAAAATTTGTTACACCGATTTCTTAAAAGATTTTTGCGAGGATTTTTGTATATTTTGTGGCCCATTAATTAATAATTGTTTGAATTTTTTTTAATAGGTTTCCATTTGTGAGGTTTCCGGCAGACCGGTAGACATACTCATAAACGTCTAAATACCATCTTTGTATGTGTTACGGTTGCTGAGAAAAAAAAGAATGAAACATTGAATCTTTTGTTTCTTTGAAAAAAATGTTTCTGTTGTTTACTGTGCTATAGTAATTTTCCATGGTTTGATTACATCTTTTCTAATTTGATTAGACAGTTGAAAATCGCTCCAAATTTTACGCCAAATGTGTTAATTAACGCTAATATGGAAGTATATATCTGTTATTTAGCACTAACTGACACATATATTTATCCGTCACACACATTTGTGTGTCAATTAGGGCTTATTATCAGGTCTATCTTAGAATTAGCACTAAGTAATTTATTTTGACAGATGGAACTGTCAATAAGTTCTAATTGGTAATGTCATTGAGAGGAAATTCTCCCATGGTTCTACTCTAAGCCAAGAATTTAAATCAGAGTGGGGTACTCTTCTCGGACGTTGTTGACATATTAATTCATAAAATGCAATTGCGTTGAAATCCAAATTTATGGTTGTCAGTCATTGAAGAAAATTCAAACCGCTTTTACGTTAATCAATTTAAATTACTCATATTTTGTAGATCGCCCAAAGCAACTTGATTGATTAAGGTGATTCGCTTTTTAAATTGATACCATCGGTAAGGTGCAACTACCATTTTCGTGGTGCGATTACACGTTTTCGTGCTTTTAATTAATTGATTACTTTAAGTGATGTTTTGCGCACCGTAAATATCGTATGTATATGGGCGTTTTACTACATTCGCTCGAGGTGATCATAAAATGTTACTCTTTTAATTCGTTTACACTTGGAAGTTTTTATTGATGTAATTTTGATTAACCGTGAGATACCGGTTTATTTCTATACAGGTGACAGTTTCCATTATATTTTCCACCCTCTCCGCTACAATAAATTTTTTTCAATAATTCTGTCGCACACTTATTTTTTAATTAAAAAATACATCACGTAAGTTTTGGGAGGTAACTAGCGACCCTTGTACTATAAGATGGTAAAAAGGAGTCGCAGAAGAAGCATTTTAATCTAATGCGATGGTAACACCAGCTGGTACCATTAAAATGTTCACACAACCACAATATAATGCCATCTTTAAATAATAAAAAAAGTAGGAATAATAATTTAAATTAATTCCGTCTGTGCAATATTAACGCTATTTTCGTGTACATCGTTTATGAGGCACGTCGACTGGACGTGGAACATATTGTTTTTACGCTTTGATCGGTCATAACACGAATTCGCCTTCGCTATTTATTGTTGTAAAATGCTTTGATCTTTCCGTTTCGATAACGCGCGAGCCATTACGGATTCTATGTCTTACGGAATATTTATGGTATTGGTAAAGCATATTTTTTTAATACAGTAACGTAAATTTCATTACTATCTAAGTAATACATATTAATCATTAATAAATTGTACACAAATACCAATGCAAACTTCTATAACAATCACTTCGTCATCGTGCTTGGAACTGCCATAAAACACGCCTTAATTAGAAAGTTTTTAGAAAAAATGAGGGAACGTTCTCAAAGAGTCTAGAAGGCATATCATATTTCAAGGAATGAATGCGCCGTACCAGCTTTCATTATTCATCAATCTTTTATCGACTTGATGGCGCCGATGCATCGATGTCTGGGATACTCGCTACCCTTCTATTCTCAGTTTAATTTCACAGCAATTGTTTTTCGGAACAAGGGTTGCGTCTTTAAAATAATATCTTCAAGTATAATACTGTGTCGAAGATAAGAATGTCTATCATGGGGATCTCCGAAACCATACGACGCGACGATGGTCAAATTAGAGAAAAGGTGCGATTACTTCCGAAGGTATTCCAAAAAAACCGACATTTACCGATTTCGTTTTTAATTTAATTTATTACTGAAGTTTTTTCGCCAAAAAAACCGATACCAAATAAGTTATTTCGGGTTTTGTGGAAAAACCGCCGATTTTCCGCCATTTTTCCAAGATGGCGGCTCTCGCGTCATGCGGATTTTTGTACAAATGTCAAATTCGGATTCAGCGACCCAAAAAACATAAACCCTGCATCTCGGTTCTTTGTCTCAGAAATTTGCAAGGTGGACCCCTGTTTTGAGCTCTAGAGCCTGGACTAACTTACAAATAGGAAATGAATGCGCTTTTTGTAACTCTGTTCGTATTAATTACTTGATCAACGAAAAGTGTGATGGTTACATCAACCTTGCTGTAACAAATACGTTAACCTTTAGTGTGCACCTAGTTCTGGGAGCGACAGGTAAAAATTGCACGCTGGAATGCGTCTAGTAAAACAATCCAGGCTCGGGGTATAACTACTTTTGTAGATGCAGAAATTTTCGACTTTATCCGTCGTTGGTTACAGTTATATGAGCGCAAATTGGGTCAATTAACCTTCGTCAGCGAACAATACAATGGATTGTCCAAAATGAAGTAAACACTCCTTTCGTTACATAATAGGTAGTGCTCGATTGGTACGAATGGAGGTACGTCTCGAGGGAAGGTCATGGCAAGCGAATGACATCTCCTGCTCGATGGCCTTTAGCTTTACGTATGACCCTGCTCCATATCCTCTCCACCTTTGCGCCTTCCTTTCAATGGATCATTTGTTTTTTTTTATTGTTTACGATTTTACGACCCGTAAATTATTTCGTCACCTTCGCCGTTTTCGTATTTCTAAAAATAGTTCCACTAGAAATTTTTTCTGAAATTTTTAAAAATCGCTACGGAAACGTAATTTAGTGTCAACGTTCTGCGACCAGTTTTGGTTTGTCGACCATTCGAAATAAGCGCAGACCGCAGTTCTGTTCCCGATTTGATGGCAATTCAAAATAAATCTAAGGCGACCTAGAAATTATACACCGAAAATAATACAATTTCATCGAACTCGCGATGACTGGCCGAAGGTCAATTTCGGGAAAGTATTAGTCAAACTGTCGCTCCACCGGCCTCAAATTTTGACTATACTCGCTCAACTTTAACTTGCAATCGTTTTCTGAAAGACGTTACTGGCTTCAAAAATTTTGGCAATTATTTTTCTACAGATTATACTTGTTTGTTTGCAGTAATTATGCGTATTTGTCTTTCCTTCCATAAACAAGATTAGATAGTTTGAAGTGCGCGAATGAAGGCTGTTGTACTATCTCATGATAATCATTGATCAAAGTATGCCTTTGTTTGCGATGCTAACTAAACTGAGAAAACA